GGTTGCTTTAATTTTGAGCATTAAACTGCCTGAATTCTCAAGCTACAACACTCTGCTTGAACAGATCTTATAAGATCTGATGAAACAGACAGAGATCACTGTGGCTTGAGTATTAGAGAATGGTCAGCAGGCTTGACCAGACAGGGTATAGCACGGTTCAAGGGATTGGGAAGAGCTCGCCAAGGACAAATGTGGGATGGGTTGCAAAGTATGCCCCAGCAGATTTCAGAGCATTGAAATTGTCAATTTTCAGACCATGTTAGAGGTGGGTGAGAAATAAATGCATACCAATTATTTGAAAACTGTGCACAGGAGAAACTGCAATGGGCATCATCAGGTATCTTGAATGACCATAAAAATGCTGCATATCAAGTTTTGTGAGATGAAGTAAAAGCTTTCCTGAGCAGGAAGGTTACTTTGTCTCTGTACACAGCACAGGAACAGATCAAATGGAGAGCATGTGGGGGGAAGGAAATAGTAAAGGAGCAGGAATTAATGAAATAGGAAACAAATGTGTAATAGAGAAGAATTTTTACAAGTGGATTCTTTGCAAGAACTCTTACTCATTGCTGGTGGCAATACAAAAGTGGTGCAGCCACTTTGGAAGACAGTTGGCAGCTTCGTAGAGAACTAAATATACTCTGTGTGACCCAGAAAGCACCCTGTGGCATTTACCAAAAGGAGTTGAGTGTTTATGTTCACATGACAACCTGCCTGGGAAGGCTTTAGCACCCTAAGTTATTATACATGCCAGACTTCTCAGTCTAGTAAAGGACATCTGCAAAGCCACAGCACACGTCACACAGTAGCAAAGTATTAGAAGTCTTTCTTCAGTGTGAGTTGGTCATGGGTGCCCTTCTTCGCCGTGGCTGCTAGATGAGAGGTGCCACCCACAGCAGAAGTCAGGAGAAATGTAAGCATAGCTTGAAGCTGGGCATGGCAGCACGTCCCTATAATCTCAGCACTTGGGAGGCTAAGGCCCAAGGATCGCTGTGAGTTTGAGGCCATCCTGACCCTGTCTCAACAACAACAAAAAAAGTAGTTTGAAAGAAAGATGAAACTATTGCTAATGGCACATGACATGCTTGTATATATAGAAAATTGAAAAGCATCTACAGTCCAACCATTCAAATTAATAAACAAGTTCAATAGGTTGCTAGGTAGAAAACCAACATGTAAAAGTAAAATTTATTATAAAACAATAAAAATAACCTCAAATTATTTTAAGTTTACACTAACATCAGAGAAAAATATGAAATAATGAGAGAGCAAAGGTAAAAAATCTGTACATTGACAACCATAAAACTCTGGAAAGGAATTAAAGGAGATGTACCTAAGTGGAAAGAGGCACTGCATTCAGAGAGTGAAAGAGGACTTAAAGGTCCAAATTGTCAGTAACCCTGCATCCCAGGCAGGATCACAGCATCTCAGGAGCAATGAGAGCACCAGAACTTGCTCACTAAGGCACAGGAGAGCCTCACAGTGTGGACTGAAAGGAGCCACAGACGCAAGCAAATATGAGGAACAGTCAGAAAATAGAGCAAATGTTAAATTTTTTTAAAGATTTATTATAGTAGAAGATACTGCCATTAATCTCTCTCAGAATACTGCTTCTCACTTGGAACACTCTTATCCCGTCTTTCTGAAACAGCTGTAGAAGTCATTTTTTGTGAGTGTCTGTCTGCACTGTTGTGGCTGCCTCAGTGTCTTGAACCAATTTAAAATGTTTCATGGTCATTTTGACTTTGAGGAAGAGCCAGTAGTTGCATGATGCCAGATCCAGTGAATACGGTGGATGAGGATAAAAATTGCTGTGCCAGAAGCGATGTGTGACACAGAGTACTGTCATGATAGCGGATGGAACTGTTTGCCCCTGGCTATCCACACCATTTCTCGGCACACTGTAGTAAGGTCTTAATCAAAATTCACTGGAGTATTCCTGGTGGTACCAGCTTTGCTCACACAGTTCCATCTAGGTCAAAAGACACAGTCACAGTCTTTTGTCATCACAGTTGATGTCATGTTCATGTTGGATCTGATGCACTGCTTTGTTTTATTTTGTTTTGCACAAGAACTGAGTGGTTTCCTTTGAGGACTCTGAATCTTGGACTCATGATCATAAGCAGAGACCCAAGTTTCATCTCCCATGATGACTTTTCTTAAAAAGCTGGAATTGAAGTAGTATAGTCACAGAATTCCAATGACATTAACAAAGTTTCATGTTACTGCATTTTTGTTTGTTTGTTTGTTTGTTTGTTTGTTGGTACCGGGGATCAAACGCAGGTCCTTGTGCTTGCAACGTAGGCGGTGGAACCACTGAGCTAAATCCCCGGCCCAATGCATTGTTCTTAATGCAGATTTATGGCACGCTTTTAAATATGCCTTCTCTGAACTGCAACTCACAACTAACTCTGCCAAACAAATGGACTGCTGTTCAGGTTTGACATGACATTACTGGTATTGAAGATTCTTGTCTTTCCATTGGATGACACACAGCAGTAGTAGTAGCATTCACTATTTTTATTGTACCCCAGAACTGTTTTTATAAACTAAAACAGCATTAGTCTAATTAGTCTAAACTATTAGTCCATTTGAGAAGTTAGTGCTAGTGTTATGGGCTAGTTAGTTGATCTAGCCATAAGGGCTTCTGAAAAGTCCCATGATGTGTATATAGGATTCGTGCTTTAGGGGATGGCAAGCTTCAAGAAAAGTTTACTTCAAAACAGACAAGTGAGAAGAGATGAGCAGAATGGACTGCATTATGGACAAGTCAATCGATCAGAATATTGTTCCCCAGCAATCAGAAAAAGCATAACATCTGTTAGTGCACATTTCCTGTCAGTTTGTTCGATAGCAACTGAGTGGTATTGCAAAAGTGTGCTGAGCTGGGAACTGGATGGTGTCAACCCCCGCAGCCTGCGGTGACAGTTTTGTGGATGACCCTGAATGCCTGCTCTTGGTGAGGGTAGAAGGTGGAGGCCGGGGAACAGGGTGAGCTGTGGTTGCAGGTTGCAGCAGGAGAGCCCTGGGGGGTAGGAGAGAGAGAGAGAGAGCGGTGGGACCCTGATCGTGAGAGAAGTATCCTGTATCTCTGCTGACCAGAAGGCTGGTTGAAATATGGCTGTTACATCTGAGAAACTGAACATAAAATTCCACTTTAAATTAAATAACTGCCTGTGGCTGCAGCCACGCCAACACAGTTCTAGAAGATAGCACATTGTGTGTGCACACAAGTGCAAGGCTTCGTGCACTGCAGAGCTGTCAGATCATAGCAGGGTGCTTTATGACAAGAGTAAGCAGTGTGGGGCAGGGACTGATGGTGTGTTCCTGTAATTCCAGGATTCTGGAAGACTTAGGAGGAGAATTACAAATTTGAGTCCAGCCTGAGCAACTTAGTGACTTTGCAAGGCCCCATCTCACAATACAGAAGTTTTTAAAAAGACTGTAGTTCATTGTGACATGTAGTTCATTGTGAAGGCCCTGGGCTCTATCCACAGTATTGCAAAGAAAAAAGTATATAAAAGTATATAAAAAGAGTAAGCAGTACAAGAGGTGCCATCAGAAGCAGACAGCTTCACCTAGAGGTGTCTCAAGGAAACAACTTTGACGACTTGCTCAGTAGATGGGGTCAGCATAGCCTTGAACTCCTGTGTAGTGGTCATCTTCCCTAAGAACAAGTGCCCTCAGGATACTTTAAGTCCCGTGCAAATAACAACAAAAACTTTTTTTTTTTTTTTTTTTTTTTTTTTT